GCCGCCGGCCCCGCGCTCCGCCGGCATGATCTCCTGAAGGGCCGAGCCCGCCCGCGCCCCCGCCCCGGTGAGTGCCGCCACGGGCCGGCCGGCGCTGCCCGGCCCCGCGCTCGCACTTGGCGGAGTTTCGGGCTCTGGCCGGCGCTGCCCTTCTTGAGAGGACGCGGCCCTTCGGGGGCTCCCCGCTSCCCGGAGAGTGGCGGTCGCGGTGCCCACCGCGCATCCCTCCTTCGCATCGCGACCCTCCTTCGCATCCCTGCTTGGCAGCGCGGTGGCTCCGCGTTGGCATTCCCGGGGGGAAAAGTGTCTCTTGGCAGCTGCCCGGCCCTCGGGAAGGCTCGGCCGAGCTTTGCGGGGGATGCTCGGTGTCTGAGCGGGAGAGGCTCCCGTGGGGAAGGGACTCCTGGAAGTGATGCTGGGGCTGAATGCGGGGCTGCGCGGCCGGTGGAGCTGCCGGGCCGAATGTTAACAGCGGGCGGGGGCTGCGGGCCGGGGCTTGGGCACCTGCGAGCAGCAGGTGAAAACRGGCACAAATCGGGCTGAATCAGGGAAAAGCTGTGGGAGCCGCGGGGGATGCGGCGGGGACCGCGGGCCAACAGGTGCAGCGGGGCTTTGGTGCCGGAGGAGTTGCCCCGAGGCCGGCCGGTCCCGGGGAGCCGCTGCCGGGGTCGGGTTCGGGGTCGGAGAAGCTGCCGGGGGTTGGGGTCGCTGCCAGGGGTCGTGGCCACTGCCGAGGGTCGCTGCCGGGTCCCGGTGACCGCGCCGGAGCAGCGGTGCTGAGCGCGGCTGCGGAGCGGGGCCGTGGGAGCTCTGCGCGATGCGAACTCGGAGGTGCGAGGTGCTGCTTACAGGTGAGACTAAAGCTCCAGCGCTTCCTGCCTGGGTTGCCGTTTTGCCCCTGTTGGGAAAATGTTTCCAGTAAKGTAAACTTTTCAGAGAAAAGTAAGKGGTTTYCAATGAGAGGCTCCTTTCCCCGGGTGTTGCAGAATTTTACGGGCTTAGTCGGTTATTGATGATGCACTTTGAATTTTGGTGGTCTTATTATCAGGGAGTAGCTAATGTAGAACATGCCTTGTAGKCTGCAGCATTAGGAATGTTTGTTGAAGTGCTTTGCTAGTCTTTGCTTTAGCATTTGTGAATTTCAGGTGTAATATGTAATAGGAAAAAAAGTCTGGTATAAATACATGTCAGACTAAGAAAGGGTATAAAGCCCAGGGAGCTAAATGCTTCCTGTTAAGTCAACTTTTAAAACAGCTTCTCYCTGGGCAGTAATTCACATTTTTCAAGGGGAGAAAGGATGGGTGAAATTGAATTGTTCAAATTAAGTCAAAATGAATTGCTTAATATTCAGMGGAGTTGATAAATGAACCATTAAATCAACACTTGCATAGCGTTTCATTGAAAAGAGAAATGAACAACTCTCCATTGTGTGCTGGGCAGAATAGGTCAGCCAGTGACGTTGCTACATCAGTGTGCTGAGTCCTCCTCCTGCTAACAGATGTGTTTGCTGGGTGACATTCCATAGGCATGGGAACGAGCTCCTGTGCCCTGTGTGATGAGGAGCAGCATCTGCTGTAAATGACCGTAATCGTCTCAGCCTCCTCTCCGAGGAGAGAAATCTTCGTTAGGTTTCATTTGGCATAAATTAGCATAATTTTATTGACTTCTCATGTTGATGTATAACTGTTGAGAATCCACTCCCGTATTTCAAGCTATGTTTTTTTGTTTTGTTCCTCCCCCAAGGAAGAGCTATATTTTTGAATGCCAGTTTGAGRAGGAAATTATACTGATAAATGGAAAAATGAGGGTTATTATTTTGAAACAGGGCTGACAAGATTCCTTGTAGTAAAAGCTGTTTTCAGAGCATCACCTCTCAGCAATACAGAGCGTGAGCCTGGCTTCCAAACCCTTTGATTAGCAGAGGTACAACTGTTGCAATAATCTTCTTGCCACAGAAAAATTACCTTTGTCTTTGCCCCTTGAAGTCCTTGAAATTCTTGTATTGGAATGCACTGAGGGTATTGACTGTGTCCTTAATGTGCCTTCTGGAAACTTCCAATGGTTTGAAGAGTCATGGATCATATGCCCGTTAYGTTTTCCAGTTGTACCTCTTTGCTTTGCAGATAGCTTAGAATAGCTCATTTTGCTYAAAGCTTTTAAAACTGAAGATGTGACAGCTCTTTTGGTTTGTGCATGTAAACTGAGTATTACAAAGGAGAAATTACGGAGTTAAAGCTCAGAGAAACAGTTTATCCAGGCTCCAGCTGAAGGTAGGATTGTTAATTGACTGATGACTTGAGAAAGCTCCCTCCCTTCAGGTTATTGGCCAGGGGAGTGAGCTGGTGTGCAGACCTTCAGAGGGGCAGAGGCATTTATTTAGGTATTTATAGTTAAATAGAAATATGTGGTCTGTTGCTGTTTATTTTGGGTGATGTGTATGGACCCACTAYACCTTCACAGGTCCTTTGGGTGATGGGTTATTAGGTGGATGCAATASGAGTTGCTTGAAGGCTTGGGGAGCTTTCTATCATCTGTGATGGAGCAGATGGACAAGTGGGTGTSTTTTACTGAGGTTCTGGATCTAGAAAATGCCTTTAGTGCATTTTTCAGATGTTTTGCTGTTCTTAAAGGCCAGGGTAGCTGCAGGTATTCTTGTGCACCGCCAATGTCTGGTTTAGAGTAGTTTTCATTTGCTTCTAATCATTCTCAGGAATGAAAGAAGTAAAAAAGTTTTTCTGAAAACCTATTGTGCTTGTAAGGTTATCCTGCTGGTTCTGTTTCCTTGCTTGCTATTTTTCTCTGAAATCAWAATGCATTTCTTTAGTTCTTTCAATAAAGACTTTAACTCAAGCTTACTGGAAAATGGTCACTCTGTGTTGAGAGAGTGCTGGCATCTTACTGACTTATTTTGGGAATACTGGAGAGAAATATACATGATTCACTTGCATTGATTAAATCCTCCAGGGCAATCTTCTAACACTGCAGTTCTCTAGGTGAAAAATTAACTTTCCTCATTCTCTGCTCCTGCTTTTATTTCATTTGTGTGAATCCCAGGRTCTGTTACCGGTTTACATCAAGTCCCTTAGGTGTGCTTGGAGTGGGAAGTACCTCAATGTGAAAGCTCACACACACTATCAGTCTCTGAGTCCATTTGTCCCTGGCCACCACCAGATACCTCGATCCTGTCAGCCCCACAACAGTCACAGAGGATTTGCACCAGCCCATGGTTCCTTCACCTGTGAAATACTTCCTGAGTGATTGTAAAAAAAAGAATAATGAACAGCTACCTTGATGCTTTTCCARAGGTTTTGGCAAGATAGCACTTTAGGTGCAGCTTAATGACAAACTTTGATTTATGAGGTAACTGAAAATGTTTGTATTGTTGGATGTGGAGTGAAAGCATAGGAGCTTTCTGCATTTCATCTGCAGCTTTTCCAGCACAACATACAGCTAACAGCTTCTCTCTCATTGATTTTAATAACAGATTTCTGCTGCATATGCCTGGAGTAGTTTGAAAACATATTAACTTTTGGGGGGGGGCAGTAGTAGTATGTTTAGTAACAAACACCATAAAGAACTTTGCTATGTCTGTTTGGTTAACCTTGAGAAATCTTAGGTTTTAGCTACTTTTTACATCCTCCCCCTGCCTGGGTGGATGGATCCTGTGGGAAGACTGCTGGGTTTTTTTTTTGTTTGTTTGTTTTTTTTTTTTTTTTTTTTTTTTGAGGCTAAAGATTTAAAAGAAACAAAAGTATTCTTTCCCTCNTTTTTTTTTTTTTTTTTTTTTTTTTTTTCATTTTGAGGCTAAAGATTTAAAAGAAACAAAAGTATTCTTTCCCTCACCCACTGGTTAAGGGCTGGTATGACTCTTGTGTTTTATGTGTGAATTCTTTGCCTTCTTCCTGTACCTCCATCACCTGCTCTCAGTAACAAGTCACATCAGGTGAGCTGTATCTGACTTGTTTGGAAACGGTTCAAAAGGATCCCATTGACATTACCAGGCTCTGGGTCACGCTTGAAATCTTGCCCTTCTGGTGTTAAGCCTTTTCTTTTTTCTTCACCTTGATTTCTGACATACTTTTAGCTGCTGTTCTGTTGGATAGAACTAAGGAAAAGGGATGTGGTATTGAGTTGTTGTTTTTTTTTTTGTCTTTGAAAAATAGGGGATTTTATTTTGAACTTAAGATGGAGCGCTAGGATGATTACCTGTTCCTCTGCTTAGTCAGAAAGGATACTGATTCTTCATGGAGGTGAAAACTTTGTGAAATCTCAGGATCGCCACTCAGTTAAACCCTGGAATCTAATATGGATATTTGAGTTCTGTTATTTTTATTTTTTTGATTTATTCATGTTTTTAAGATTTTAGTGCTGCACGCAAAAAGCTCCCTGAATCTAATGCATTGTAAAATAGTAAGCTGGTACTACTGAGTTATTGTAATACACCTATTATTTCCCCTCTTGGTCCCAAGGGCACTGGGGTTTCTCAGGTTGAGTGCTGGAGAATTCCCATGAATTCAGAAGGGCAGTATTGGGATCACATCCAGGGATCTGTTACCCACTGCTGGGATGAGCCAAGATTTGCTGTGATCGCCCCAGCAGATAGATGTTGCTGTAGTGATTTCACTGTTCCTTGCATGTCAGCCACGTGAGCAGTTAGACAGTCTCATTTCTTCTTTGGCAGTGTGGCAGCCAGGGGAAACCATTCAATTAAAATCCTTCCTGCCTCCTCCAGGGGTTTCCCTGGTGGGTCAGCAGCCGAGGTTCTGGTTTCCCCATCTCAGCAGATGCTTTCACCAGCCCGGAGTCGGCAACCCCAGCCCGACTCAGTGCGCATCTCCCTGGGCAAGGAGGGAGCAGGAGGCTGAGCACATCTCCGTGCCTGTTTCTTACTTTTTTCTGCTGTTAGCCTGAGAAATGAAGTTTGTTCCTGTGTTAYCCTGACACGACTGAAGAGCCTCTTGCTGCAGGCAGCTCTGTCACTCTCTGTAGTGCTTGGATTGCTCAGCAGAGGGAGAAGAGACCATAATGCTGAAGGCATCCAGAAACAGCCAGAGCCACATTTCTCTG